ATGTGTTGGTTCCGTAGTGACCCAGGGTCATTTCAGACATATCATGTTGGGTTGCATCCTGACTATAAATAGCCCACCCCCTACACCATAAATTGGTGGCTTCTCTTAGTGCACGGCTTTTGTCGTTTGAGAGCAACCCACCTCCGAAGCCTTTGAGAGAGAGAGATCCTTGCGAGGACAAAGCCCAAAACACCCAGAGCCAAAGAGTGTTAGGCATCACTGAAGTCTTTCTGTCCACGTGACCTGAAGACATGTTACACTTGAGGACTGTGCATCCTCCAGTCGGTTAGGCATCACGTTCCGAGGATCCAAGATTCATTGTGGATCGCCAGCGAACGGAGTCTGTGAAGGTTTAGAAGTTTACCTTGAAGACTTACCAGAGTGATTGGGCGAGGACTGGGTGTCCTTAGCTCAAGGGGAATAAGGTGAAGACACAGTCTTCTGAGTTCAATCTCGGCCTCCCTAACTAGACGTACAGTTGTTACAGCAACTGGAACTGGTCTACCAAATCCTTGTCTTCACCAAGCTACTGGTTCTATCCCCTACATTCTTTACATTTCAATTTGTCTTCGTGAAGTCATTGCTTGTTTGCCTGATCTGTTTGACTTCACTGTGCGAAGACTATTACCTGTTTGGCTTCATATTGTCTTCCATTCGGTTCCGCACTACCTATCTGCTATTAGTCTTCGTGCTTTCTCTATATTGCTTACTTGACTATGGCTTGTCTAGTGTAGTTCATCTTTCGCTGCATATCATATAGGCTCAATTACTTGTTTGTCTTCAAAGACCTCGGGTTTTGAAGACTTTCATAAAAATCGCCTATTCACCTCCCTCTAGTCGATAAGTAGCACTTTCAACAACTGTGTCGATCTGGGATGATAAGTGGATCCCAAACATACTAAAAATGACCCCAGTAGCAAGGCTTGGTAATGCTCAAATTTCTCTTGTCTCGGATCTTATTGACAATGAGAACTGGACTTGGAAAAGTGATCTTGTGAAAGCTTCTTTTATACCCCGGACGTTGATGCAATTCTTAATATTTCTTTGCGCATAGGAGGGGGAGATGATTTTTTGGCTTGGGTGGGTGAGAGGAATGGGACTTATACTGTAAAGTTGGTGTATCAATCTCTAATGATTCAGAACAAGCAACATGCTCTAGAAGAAGGGACGATAACGAAATCTTCAGAGACAGATAAACAGTTGTGGTCCTATATTTTCAGAGGTTGATAGGGCAAAGCTTGCACCAATCATGTGGTCTATCTGGACATCTCAAAATAATATTACCCATGACAATGGTCGGATTGATCATGTTCAATCTATGAAGCTGATGAGAGAAACACTGGCGCTTCTTAATCTACCTCGCGAGCATGTACGCATTATGCTTGGGCATGGCTGGCGACCTCCAGAGGATGAAAGGATGAAGATTAACACTGATGGTAGTGTTTCTATGGACGAGCGTCGTGGAGGTGTGGGAGGGTGGCTCGCTCCTATACTTCCCTACACACAATATGGTGTAAACCATATGCCGGCATCACGGACCCGCTTATTGCCGAAGCTCTTGCAGTCTGGGATGGTGTTATTTTTGCAAAGCTTCGGGACTATGATAAAGTCGTCGTCGAGACGGACTGTTTGGAGATTGTCAATTTCTGCAACTCGCGTCAGGTTCTTCCAGCTGTCACGGCGCCCATGCACCTTTGTTTAAATTTTTTGTTATTCAACATGTATTTAGATCAGCAAACTTTGTTGTCCATCTTTTTGCGAAGTAGGCTAGCACATTGGAGGTGACAGAGTGCTGGATAGATTCTACTACTCCTAGTTTTCTTGTAACTTGCGATTCTGCTGGGATGGTTGATGTTGAATAAAGCTCCCAAATTAACACGCAAAATAAAAAAGTTGAGGACCAAGCGTGCAGTCGGCAGTCTCTTATCCCACGCGAGCACCGCCCCCCCTTCCCACAACACACCTCCCTAATTCCCACTCCCTACCACCCGACCCCCTCCTACCTGGCCGCTGTTAGCCGTCCCGGATCTCCGCATCCAGATCGCCGAGACGCCCCCCTCTGGAGTAGCTGGCGTCCTCACCGCCGGACCCAACCTCTGTCGCCTATTCCCCCGCCCAGCTCACTCTTCACCGCCGGGACCCCCTCCGCCGCGTGCTACCTCGCCAACTCGTCACTCTCGGGATCAGGTTAGCTTGTTTGCCATGGGGTGAGGTTGGTTCTAGTGGATCAGCAACTTCATGCCTACCTCGAATTGTATACCGTAGATTTGACTCTCTGTGTTAATTTTATACGGGTTGATCCGAAAGTTCATCTGACCCTTCATGTGCTACTATGATGTATCGTAATGATTGAAACTACATATAACTGATGCACCACATTTCAGTTTGCTGATTAATACATTAAGTGCTGCTTAACCTTTAGTTTCCTGATCACAACATGTTCTGTATGCTAGCAATTTGTCCCTGTTTTTCATCTTTGGGATTATGCTGCCAAGACCAGATTCATGTGCACTTTTAATGCCGGCCTTCCTTTTGCTGGCATTGATATGCTTTTCTTCTCTCTAGCATTCTTTTCACCGTTCATTAGCGCAGACAATGTTGAAAAGGTACTACTATATGGCCAGTAAACAACCATACTAAGGCTGTGTTCGGGAATCCTCTGCTCCTCCGCCAGAGAGCGGAGCGGGCGGAGCACCCCTTTCGCTGCTCGCTAAAATTGAACTGCATGCCGCTCCGCTCCGCGGCGGAGTTACAGAGCGGAGTGATTCCGAACGGCCCCTAAATTCTCAGTGCTTTTCTCAACGCTCACCGCTTATACCAATGCTAAGCATAGTACATTGTGTGATTCTATTTTTTAGATGAATCATTTTGGTAGGAAACGACAACACCTAATTGTGAGACTAGCCAAACCAGTTGTTAAATGTGGACATACATGCTGTTTAGCTTAAGGGCTAGAGAAAGTACACATGATATAACATATGGCCATTTGGTCGATAGATATATCTAGTATAGGAAATCAAACTTGAGATAGTACTCCAAGGACACAAATTGCTCAAATCAGCTTAGGATAACAAGGGCCCAAATTTTCATTTGTGCACTGCCGTACTTCGTTTAGAGATTGAGAGCTATTGTAGAGCAGCATCCTATCTCTGCTGGGGAACAAGTAGTCATGTTCCTCTTAGTACTCGACCATAACCACAGGTTTAGGTCTATGCAACCGACGTTGGGTGGGGTAGGCAAAATTCTGGACGGCATGAGGCAGGGATGTGGGTCGAATCGGGGTGTGAAGAACAAGAATCTGTTGAGGAGGCAAATTCTGTAGAAGTGAGGTCTTCGGCATCAATCTGTCAGCTGCTGCTGCTGCCTAGCCGCAAGGTTGGAAGGAGTCCGGAGACCAACGAGGTGGTGAGATGAGACCACAAGAATTTCAAGGAGACCATTCCTACATGACACTCCACTAATTCTCTTATTAAAGCTCTTCTGAGACCAATCCACGTCCATGTTGTGACATGTCAGCGTCGCAGGATTGTATTGCTAATGTTTTGGTGCCATACTGATCTTATGTAGATTGTATATATGCGCTTATTATTATTTACTTCCAATAGAAAGCTACATATTTTGGGCCGTTCCATACTTACATTAAGAGAGTCTTAATTACTATAATGCCAACATCTACTCCCAGTTTCAAGTCAACTTAATAATTTATGCTAAAAAGATGCACAGATCATACTGTCCCTTAAGTTGGCAAAAAGCATGATAGCTTTTTCATCAGCGGTATTCCAGAAATTTTGGACTTTAATTACAGCTCAGGAAACCAGCCTAACTAAAAGCCAGCCCACCCATGTCCCTGGGCAGCCAGCCAAAAGCCATTTCTGGAGAAGCTTTAGCCTCCAACATGTCAAATCATATGGTTGAATGAACATGTTACAAGAGTTTGTCCTCTGCGGCCTTTGCTAAAGATGACATTTACTGCATTGAGTTTGCAATAGGTTGTTAGCGCACAATGGGCAAATTCAAGGATAGTTCAGACTATAGGTTTTCTCTGTGCATTTATACTAACTTTTTATAGAATTTGGCCCCGCTATAGCCAAGGCTTGGGAGGGAAGCAAGGTATGATTAGGATTCGCATGCTTCTTGCTTAGGAGGCAATCAACATAATCTTCATCACTGTAGGATATGTGACAGTGAAGCTTTTTAATCTGGTTCAGCGACCTGTGAAGAGGCAGGGAGTTGATAGGCCATAAGGTGTGCCGAGACTCTGATTGTCAGTGGCGGAGCTACATTCATTTCTCTGGGCGGGCCAAAACAGGCCAGGTTAACAAATACCATTAAAACTTTGCTCTTAGGGCCCAGATTCAGCGCTGCTCTTGACTGAAATCTTGCTGGATTGGGCGGGCCATGGCCTGGTTTGGCCCAGCCGTAGCTCCGCCACTGGTGATTGGTATCTAATGTTGCCATTGGTTTCTCCATATAGGCTACCTGCATTATAGCTTCTTGTACTCATAGTCCCATGGACCATATGACTTGAAATGAATCTTCTCTTGACTCCTTAAAGGTCAGCAGCCTAATGCGTAAAATGCGGTTCTTACCGTTCATCTTGGGAGATCGACTGATCATTGACTATTGTTAGATGTCCTGCTCGATTACTCAATGTTTTTCTGATCTTTTTCGTTTTTGGGTTGGGTGGCATGGAGGTCATGTTATTGAACATCTGTTGTTCAAGCTTGAGATTATGAGGGTGTGGTTGTATTAATCTCTGTCTTACAGCAACCCAGAGCATGTTGTAGTTTACTTTGTCTGAATCTCTTTCTCTTCTTATTATAGGATGTGAAATACTTACGAAGGTCGCTTTTGAGCCATTCCTATTCTGGCCACTTATGCAGTTCATATTTTTGTCCTGTAAATTATGACCTGAACTCAGTAGTTGCTTTTGCAGGTGGATGTCCACCTGTACTTTGATTGAAGACAACTAACTTTGTTGTTCCTGAGGGCAAGAAGTAATGATCCGACCAGGCTCCAAGGAGTCACAAATTTATGATAACAATAGTCAGAAAGTTTATCCTCAGCCAATTGATGAAACTATGAATCAGAACATGGACACGATGGACAGTATGATTGGAAGGATATTCAACAACATATCCTCTTTAAAAGCTGCATACATTCAGCTGCAGGAAGCTCACACCCCTTATGACCCGGACAAGATCCAAACTGCTGATAAGCTTGTCATAGATGAGCTCACGAGGCTTTCAGAACTCAAGCATACTTACAGAGAGAAAAATCCTAAGCCAGTAGCAGCATCACCTCAAGATTCACGCTTGCTTTCTGAAATACAGGAGCAGCAGAACTTGCTAAAGACATATGAGGTCATGGTGAAGAAGTTCCAGTCACAGATCCAGAATAGAGATACCGAGATTACCCTTTTACAGCAGCAAATCGATGAGGCGAAGCATCGGAAATCAAAGCTGGAGAAGAAATTGAAACAGAGGGGCTTACTTAACAAAGAATCTGAGGAATCTGATGAAGAAGAGAACTACTTCTCTATTGAGCTGACACCAAGTTTATTTACATCTGCTGCTGATAATGCATACCAATCAATACACGATTTCTCAAAGCCCTTGATCAACATGATGAAAGCTGCTGGGTGGGATCTCGATGCGGCTGCTAACGCAATTGAACCTGATGTAGTTTACACAAGGAGAGCTCATAAGAAGTATGCATTTGAGTCCTATATCTGCCAAAGAATGTTCAGTGGTTTCCATGAAGAGAGCTTTTCCATCAAGGCTGCTACTGCCAGTGTGTCCAATGAGGCTTTCTTCCACCAGTTCCTTGCAGTGCGAGCCATGGATCCTCTTGATGTATTGAGCCAGAACCCAGATTCGGTTTTCGGGAAGTTCTGCAGAAGCAAATACCTGTTACTTGTGCATCAAAAAATGGAAGGCTCTTTCTTCGGTAACATGGATCAGAGAAACTACGTCATGAGCGGTGGCCATCCAAGGACAGCTTTCTATCAGGCATTTCTCAAGTTGGCGAAGTCCATATGGTTATTGCATAGGCTGGCATACTCTTTCGATCCAAAGGTCAGGGTCTTCCAAGTGAAAAAGGGAAGCGAGTTCTCGGAGATTCACATGGAAAGTGTGGTGAAGAACATGGTCTTGGATGAAAGTGCCGACAGGCCTAAAGTAGGTTTAATGGTGATGCCTGGTTTCTTGATTGGGACTAGCGTCATACAGGCCCGAGTGTACCTTTCAGATGTTAAATATGCTGACTGAAAATGCTGCAGTTGCTTGGGAAGATTCAGGGCGTATTAGTTCCTGTGGGCTCATTTAGTTGCATCTGAAATGGCGGGGGACTTTGTGTGTCTGTGTCGTGTGTGATGCTACCTGAAAGGATGTTATTCAGATGAAATGTGGTAGTCTATAGCAACACGTTTGTGAAAGACCTTCATATGCTTGTCTTTTTAAGACTAGAATGTTTATTCTCTCTGTTGCGTGATGTAATCCTGTCCAGTGTTTGGTATATATATATTGTTGGTCTGATTTGGATGTTGCAGCCTATGTGATACTGCACAACCCTTTTCATGTTGCCATGTACTGTATGTAAGTATTCTTGTTGGTGTCTAATCTGGTTTTTGTACTGTAATACTATATGTGTACTGTAATTTTGTTTGTGTTCTGTACTGTGTAAATTTTGAGGTTTCACAGTTTTTCGTGAATACGCAAAATTCTGTGTATCTTACATTTTTTTTGACATCACTGTGTATTTTCCCATTGATACAGGAGATTCGGAGGTTTACACACTTGGGATATGTTTTTTTTGAGACATACACACTTGGGATACGTACACGTACAAATGGAATAACTGTAAGCATCAACGTCCAGCGATGGAGATTTATTTCAGGATTTCCTGCGATGTGCATTCGATGAGGAGACATTTCTGTCGACGACGAGACGCCTACAGTGACTTCGTGAATCTCAAGATGATATGCCGGTTCAGTCTCTCGGAGGTGTTTATAGGGGTAGTGTGTGTGCGCGCGTTTATAAGGGTAAGCGTATGCGCGTTTATATGACCGCTTGCATCTGTACGGTGTTAAAAAAAATGTCCCAGTGATGGCCCGGCTGCCGATTTCTAGCATTTACGCCCTGGCTCGTTGGGCTAGGCCTTCTAACTGAATGGGCCCGAGCCTTTCCAAAATGGGCTGCACGGCTTTACCATCGTGCGGGCTTCTTCTCTTCTACCAACCCCCCCATCCGTTCTGGCCAATCTCATTCTCGCCGGCCCTGTTCGTGCGAGAGCAGAGGAGACGGGGGTTCTTTGCTAGGTTTTAGAGCGGGTGCGGCGGCGCGGTCCTGCCGTTGTGTGTTAGGTTGGCCGGAGCAAGCGAGCGGGATGCCAAAGGGCGACGACGCGCTCGCGCGGAAGCGCGGGAAGGTGCGCCGCAAGCGGATGCGCAGCAGCGAGAACGCCGTCTCCACGCGCGTCGCCGCCATCATCGCCTCCAAGCGCCGCCGCAAGACCGGCAAGCGCCGCGGCTGCGAGGGCATGTGCTTCTCCCTCCCTTGCCCCGAGGACCCCTTCAACGAGCGCCACGGCAAGAAGCGCAAGGCCGAAGACGCCGCTGACACCAACGACGACCACGACAAGAAGAAGAGCAAGGGTTCCAAGAAGCAGGAGCGGGCCACCGGTCCTAATGCCATACCCGTGCGGAAGAAGGAGACGGGGGAGGACCGGCTGGAGTATGACCGGCCGTCCAAGTTCCTGGTGGTCTGCCTCAACGCCATCCGGGACGGGGCTGGGGCATCCGAGGAGGACGGCGGCGGCATCCACGACACCGCCTCCTGGGGCATGGAGCTCTGGAAGTCCTGCGCGGCGTCCCCGCCTTCGGACGTGCTCGACACCAGCTACCAGTACGCCACCCGGGAGCAGACGGCGTGGCTCGTCTCCACGGCCTGCGACATCGTCGCCAGGAAGGAGAAGCTTGGAGTGGTCGTCTCATGCCCCTTCCTCCTCTACCTCGTCCCTTCCCAGGAAAAGGCGGTGCAAGTGAGTATTAACATCCGGCTCTCTCCACCTTCTTGTTCTTGATGCTGCAATGTCTAGTAGTACCACCAGGAACAAGGGTTAATTGATCTAGTGATTTATTTGGTATTGCTTCATTGCTTGAACAGGCCCGTTCAATATGTAAACCGTTGAAGTCTCTTGGAATACATTCAGTGAGCTTGCATCCTGGCGCTTCCATAGAACACCAGATTTCTGGGTATGTTTATTTCAATCACTAGTCTCAGATACAGTATCATGAATGTGAATATCTTGTGACTGTAGAGCCTATGGATGCATTTGTATGTGCAATCCTAATTCATTTTCTGTTGTCTCTATCAGACTAAAGAGCTGCGAGCCCGAGTTTCTTATATCTACCCCGGAGAGGCTCCTTGAACTGGTCTCACTAAAGGCAATTGACATATCGAATGTATCAATGCTGGTGCGAACATTTGATATTTTGGTGTCTTCTTGATGATATTTCATATCAGTTCACTTGTACTTATCATCCTGATGCTTGTCAGTATTTCACTTTGAAAGCTATGTGCTCTGCAATTCTTTTAGCAAGCAGTATAGCCTTAACCCAGTATACTTAATGGCCTCACAAATTTTATTTACTGTCAAGTCCTAGCATTGTCAGTAATCTAGTTATGCTAACATCAAGAATAACTTCTTCTAACAGGTCATTGATGGACTAAAGGATTTCATGGACCTTAATATCATCAAAGAACTTTGTTCTATTCGAGGTACCATATCAAGTGATGCACAGGTAACTATATTTAGTGGTCAATGTGACCAGAGTGCGGCAACAGTGGCAAGAAATCTACTACATGGGAGAATTACAAAGCTTAGCACAAATGATTCTGTTACTTCTCGAAGCGCATTTGTAGCACAGCATGTACACTTCTGTACTAAAGGGGAAAAGACATCAAAGGTAATTGGAGTATGCAGACGGAGAAGCCCCGTTCATTCGTACTTCATTACCTACTGACATGCATGTCCTGAATTCATGATTCATAGTTTTTTAGCTGTAGTTGATTAAACTTTAGAACATTTTGCTGATTACTCAGGACACTGACAAGCTCTTTACTTATTTTCAGGTTAAGGAAATTCTTGAGAATGTTTTAGAAAACCATGCTAGTAAGACAGCAAAGGTTTTGCTAGTGGCCGCGAATGATAATGAAGCGCAGAAACTCTCTTCATCCCTTAAACTGGAAATTCTCACAGTGAATGATGGCTCGCAAGGCAGCACCTTTACCGTATGCAGCAGGTACAGTGAACCATTTCAATATTTCTTTTTGTGACATTCCCTATCTCAGAAG